TTTCTTTTTGTTCATCCAAGTTCTCCCTGATGAACCTCGCCACTGTTTTATCCCTCTCACACAGACTTCGCTCTCCCCGGCTTGTAAATCATGGGAGTTCCAGCCTTCTTTAGATGGCTCAGTCAAAAGTATCCGTCCATCGTACAACACTGTGTGGAGAAACACGGACAGATCATAAATGATGATGGTGATCGAGCCCCAGTAGATCTCACCGAACCAAACCCCAATGGCGAGGAGTTCGACAATCTTTATCTAGATATGAACGGTATAATTCATCCCTGCACTCACCCCGAAAATAAACCCGCACCGAAGAATGAGGCCGAGATGTTTGTTGCCATCTTCGAGTACATGGATCGCCTGTTCGCACTCATTCGACCACGTCGTCTCCTGTACATGGCCATTGACGGTGTTGCACCGAGAGCGAAAATGAACCAACAGCGCTCTCGACGTTTTCGTGCTGCTAAGGAGTCCCACGATAAGCAGCTGACAATTGAACGTTTGCGCGCCGAACTATTAGCTAAAGGCGCCAGTCTGCCGCCGCCCAAGGGTGCGTCTGAACATTTTGATTCCAACTGCATTACTCCGGGAACCCCCTTCATGGACAGACTCGCGATAGCACTGCGCTATTACGTGTATGAACGTCTTAACAGCAACCCTGCCTGGAAGAATTTACAGGTTTGTGTTCTCATTTGCATAAATTTGAATTTGGTTTTCAGCAGTCAATATATTCAGAGCTGCTGGAATATATTTGTTCGTTTCTTAAACATTTTCTTGGTTTTATGAATGCGTTTCATTATAATTGAGTCCCTTGCTCTGTCTGGACACATTTATCGGAGACAAGTACTAGAACGACGACGCCGGTTTGCAGACTTCCAGTAAATGTCCAGACAACAGCGCTGCGCCCCCACCTTTGAATATCGACAGCCATTGCGCTCCATTTAAGTTAAGTGGCTTATCCATTCAACAGTCTTGATAACTTGCAAAATTATAGCGAAGTCCTTCTAGTTCATCTTACTCTGCAGTATGTGTGAGGATGAATGGGTTGGGTTGGCATTACACCGTCCATTATCATACCTTCCAATGTTTTGACGTTCTGCTGCAAAAGGATAATATTCACTTTTTCTCGACAACTCGTTGTTTTAATTAAGCTTACGTCACGGAGTTTTCGGCATTTTGTCCGCCTGAAACTCGGAACCATCGTCTTCCCCCACTTCTCCTGTTCATTATTTTTGTAATATGTAGGTTTTTGTAACTGGACAAAGGTATCGAGAGTCGTGTCCTTTGGGCCTCATATCAACAATAAACTACTTTCATCAATTCTTCTCTAGGTCATTCTCAGCGACTCGAACGCGCCAGGAGAGGGCGAGCACAAAATTATGGATTTTATTCGTCGCCAACGCCAGTCCCCTACGCACGACCCGAACACGCGTCATTGTTTGTGTGGAGCCGACGCTGATCTGATCATGCTTGGCCTGGCTACGCATGAGCCTCATTTTACAATTATACGTGAGGAGTTCAAACCGAATCAGCCGAGGCCTTGCG